TCCTTTCTCTGGGTGCTTTGGAAAGTTTTCCCCCCCCCCCCCAACTCCCTGCATGAGGTCTACAATCTTGATCTTCCATACGATATTGGCAGGGTTCTCACTGTGTACATGAATATGATGAGGATGGCGAACGAACTCACAATCGTATGAGGAAGGGGTGGTTGACCTCTTTCAAAACCGCCTTCTCGTTGTGGACATGCTCCTCCTGCTTCAGTCGGATCACATCGGGGATCCTCATCTGTTTCAGAGCATAGAAGGTCCTGCTGGTCTTGTCCCTAACCAGGAATACTCGACCAAAGGTTCCTGTACCTGTCAGTAAATGGGACACAAGAAAGCAAGGGTATTGGTTCAGTGGGGTACACACAAACCGACCAAACAACAGGCCTCATTGGAGCATTCCCACCTCTGCTTAGGATCCAAGTCACCAAAAGGTGTTTCTTAAAACCTGAATGATTAATCTGGCGGGGTAGGGTAGGCAGATTTGCGATCTTCCCTATAAAACAGCGATTTGAACACTACACCGTTTGTCATCGTTTTCAGTTCAAGTCAATGGTGGTCAGTCACCTCTCCCACCCGGAAGAACCCAGGCGCCTACTGTTGTCATACATTTTTTTTAAAAGCTCTTGAAGGCGAACACCGAATGTAAAGATCTTGGTGGTCATAGTATGAAATTGCGACTCACCCACTGTGGCGATGCTCACCAAGTCTTCAAGGCAATACATCTGGTGGTTGTCTGACGTTTCACCCGAGGAACCGCTGCTATTTTCTTTCGAACAATTTGTGTCTTTGCTCACAGCGCTATCTGCTTTTGAGGACGCCATGAGTCACGTCTGAGGTTAATTATTTTGGTTTGAAAATGTCGGAGGGTGAAATAAATACGCCATGTCATAATCCATTAATGAACTAAGGGAAATAAATATCAAAAACGTGGTGGCATTTTATCTGAGGTACAGTCAGTAGACATTTGGGCCTTCACTCTAAATAGACAAAAGAAGTTGGTGACAAGTAAAAGCGATAGCAGAGTGGCTAGCTTAAAAACGAACTAAAGACGAAAGCATCCCAATATTTGTTAAAACGATGAACGTATGAAACTACGAAAAGGGATTGCATCTTAATAAAATCTAGATGGACGAAGCGTACGCCTCCACATTTCCTCATATATTTCCGCCGAACGGACTCTGGTGCGCATGCGCATCTGTGTTTTCCTTCTGTGTTTTGTGGCTGTTTACAACTCGCTTAAAAGATGCTTTGACGCCGCCTCGCGGCGTGGATTTTTTTTCCCCTAGCCATCTAATCTTGCATTTTCTGAATTAAAAAATAATTTTTCATCAAATAATTCTGACATTAAAGTCAGGTATCTGACTTTATTCTCTGAATTCTGACTTTATTTTCTATTTCTGAGAACGGATGCACCCAGGTTACAGACGTGAATAAGTAGAAAGTAACCATTTACATGGGTACGTCACTGTGACGCCACATAACGTTGTTAAAACAACACCACCGTCGACATCTAACCCCTTTGTGTGGATGACAGTGGCCGGCTGGAGCATCTATGCAGCTAAATCATCGTGAACTGAACACACCGATCACACGGTCATGTCGTAGAAGTATTGTAGTGACGTGCCGCAATTCAAGGCGACATCATTTGAAGTATGTGCACACGCACGCATAAATAGAAGTCAACAGTTGATGAACTGCTGTCTGAATGGGGACTTTATTATGATAGTTGCATATTAAAAATAGTTTAGAGTAAGTTTCAAGCATAAATGTAATTGAGTACATTCTGAAGGGTTTTCAACATTTAAGAGTCGCAGCACGTTTGCCTGTGTATTTCATTTACAAATGTGGAGATTAGTATTACATTTGTGCTTCATACTTTAAAATTAAGCGATTTTGTGATACGGTGATTGAGTATTTTTTTTTTAATTTATATTTAGTTTTTGTTCTTCATTGGCCCTAATCCTCTTGTTTATTTTTTCTTTGTTGGCCCCAATCCTCTTCCCGCAAACCGGTAAGTGTACTTTTACATGAGTTAGTTTTTTTTTTTTAATTTCTGTACTTGTACTGTATACCTTTGGTTGACACATCTGGTTATTACCCTCTGGCGGTTTTGTATGCGATGTCTTCGGGGGCAAATGATGTTCGGGGCTTTTACATTGGAATGTTTTGCAAAGCAAGAAATCGGGAGGCTAATGATGAGGTCGGTGAAGCATGGGGTGGGGTTCGTGATGGTTGCCAGGAAACTGGAAGGGAGAGAACAGAAGGGTGATGGTGGTCTCAGTTTATCTTAACCTCATTTTCCGACCTCTTTCTTTTAACCCTATTGTCACCTTCCCATACACATTCAGGTTTCATTGTTTTACTTGTTATTTTTTAAGTAGATCTTAATGCAACAGATTGACAAATTTCACCTTCAGCACAAACTGTTATCATTGACTCTCGCCAAAATGTCAACGCGTCGGTACTGTTTTCCTTTCAATCTACCTAAATCCGCTGTGCTTCACCGAAATAATAATTGCTGAGTTTGAAGAAGAAGAAAACAATTAATGTAGCTAGTGGTAGTGTGGAATGGTCCATCCATCCATTGTCCGATCCGCTTATTCTCACAAGGGTCGTGGGGGGTGCTGGAGCCTATCCCAGCCGTCTTCAGGCAGTAGGTGAGGGACACCCTGAACCAGTTGCCAGCCAATCGCAGGGCACACATTGGCAAACAACCATCCACGCTAACACTTAGGGACAATTTAGAGTGTTCCATTAACCTGCCATGCATGTTTTTGGAATGTGGGAGGAAACCGTAGTACCCGGAGAAAACCCACGCAGGCCCAGGGAGAACATGCAAACTCCACACAGGAAAGCTAGAGCTGGAATTGAACCTCTGCACTGTGAGGTTGACATGCTGGTCCACCAGGCTGCGCGTAGAATAATGTTTTCGGAAATGTTGCATCATGTGCCAATAATGAACCAATCAGTGCCAGCGGTGTCGAATGACAAAAACAGAAAACAAAAGGAAAAAAAAACCATCAGAAAACTGCAATAAAAATAAATTTAAAAAGACAAATTTTAGGAAAAATATGTAATTTTATTTTTGGGGCATTTAAACAATAATAAGACAGCAAGCGGTTCACTAAAACATATACATAAAGAGAACTGCTGTGTTTTTATTATATGCACAACAAAAATAATAAGACTTGTTCATTACTAAAATGTGACTGGCCCCCTGGACCTTGCCTCACACGCACGCGCACGCACACACAATAATGATCATCCCATACAATAAAACCTTGGAGTAAAAAAAAGGTGCACTTTAATCAAGCCTTGGCCCAAAATAGGATTATTTACAAATCACTACAACAAACCACTTATTTAACAGTGTCGTACTGTAACTGTCTCCTGTCACGTGTTGGCATGTTCTAGAATAGATCTCGAAAGGTCATACAGTGGCATCTTGCTATATAGCGGCAATAAACGCAACAAAAATGATTTCAGTTCCGTGGGCGTGATCACGGAAGAAATGAATCTCGTATCTCAAGGCACCACTGCATTCTCTATTGTTTTGGTTTGTGGGTTGGGAGAACAGAAACAGGACTTGGTCAATAATTAGGGACAATACAACACATTTGTTTTCTTGTCACGAGGCACTAGAGGAAAAAACCACACCTCAAGCTTGATGTTTTATGAGTTGGGTCCATGAGCCTAGATTAGCATGTAACCGCACAAGTCAATTTTGCTGTACGACTCGATCCATTCATTCATTTTCTACCAACGATCCTGTTTTGGGTGTTTTATTTGTTCTGATGCCGATGTTCAATTTTCTGTGTTGCGTGCCATGACAGAGAGAGGATTGAATTTTACTTTAAATCTGTGAAATGCTTATTCAACATGTGTGATTTTGTATGTTAAAAAAAAAAGCAGTACGGCCCTGTAATGCACATTCAGTGAAGATCAGAAGCAATTCCTATTTTAACTCCAAAGGTATTGGAATGGCAAGGTCGGTTGTTTTTGTTTTGTTCAGAAGACATTTGGGTTTTAGATCAAAAGATGAATATGAGACAAAAGTTCAGAATTCCAGCTTTTTTAAAAAAAATGTATTTACATATAGATGTATTTATTCGTGACAGAGCACCTTTTTGTTTGAAGCCACCCACTTTTCAAGTGAGAGCAAAGGCATTGGAATGGAAATGATGGCAGCAGAATGAATTCTGAAGTCCGCAAACCATTTTTGGATGGCAATTTACAGGCAAATGCTTGCAGACTAATTCAGAGAAACTTCATCATGCGACAAGATAATGATGTAAAACACACTGCCGAGTCTCAATGCAACAAATGGGGGGGGGGGACATTTCAAATGAAGATCGCAACCATCTGGTGAAATCAACGGGTCACAAGCTTGTTGCAGTTATTCCATGTCAGGCTTATGCCACCAAATATGAAAAGTTACTTCAATTTAGTTTCATGTCGAATCCAATACTTTTGCTTACTTGCCAAAAAGGGTGGCTTGAAACAAAAGGTGCCCTGAGTTGTCTCACGCATCCATGAAATAAAAGCTGACATTTTGTGTGATATTCATCATTTAATTGGAAACTTTGGAAATTTTTTGGATACTTATTTATCCAAAAAAAAAAAAGAAAAAGGAATTGACCTTGCCGTTTCAATACTTTTGGAGGGCCCTGTTGTGCAGTGATTCCCAGCCAGTGAGTGAGAGGTCAGGTGTGCCGGGGGAAATTAATCCAGGTTTTCTTCATTGGTCTGAAAATATTTACGACAAATCATGTATCTTTTTTTCATCTATCTATGCAAGCGATGTACAGTGACAATCAAATGCTCTTCCTCAAGGCAACAGAGGGTACACAATTAAAACCCGTGCATCCACTTTTTGTGGCATTTTCGTTTGGTGGTATTCCGTAAGAGGTTTTCCCATGTAAAATATGTGCATTTGCTCAATAAAGGTTAAGTCACGCTACTCTCCATGAAAGTTGAGAACAATTCTAGCTTGTCATCAACGACAGTTCCTGTGTTGCTGGCTGAGCCGCAGTTTTATCAAAACCGGCCAACTTACCGTCATTAAAAGGAAAGCATAGAAACACACCTCTTTTTTTTTGTAGAGTTTACCCTTATACTTGTATCACCTGGAGAATACGTTTTATTTTTTAATCTATATTTTCGACTGAATCTTACCTCCATGGGTCGTGATGGAACTGTACCGTTAGCTCTCTGTTTTGGCTGCATATACTTTGTACGCCGAACTTGGGGAGACTGCGGAATTGCCTTTTGGTTGGCTTCATCGGCTCATTACCTTCAACTCTTGACAGGCACAGTTCAAAGCGGCAAAGAAGGGAAGCAGAAACACTCAATCTGAGACCGCGGTCTTCAGCCATGAGGGCGGAACTCCTTCCCCAAGTGGAGGAGTTCAAAGTATTTTTGCTGTCTTGTGATTTACTGGTCACAAAAAAGCAAACGAGCAAAACACAAAGTACAACTTTATCCCCCAGCCCCATCGAGAGAAGAAGAAGAAAAAAAAATAGCAGAGTAGTTTGGGGTAATACAGCCATTTTAAAATGAATGACACTGTATTTATCGCAGCGGCACTAACTACAGACGACTTGATAGTACACGGATGTGTGTCAATGAACAAAACAACCAAACGGAAAATCACAAGCGTTAGCACGAGTGAGTCACTTCAGTCTGGCCGCGTCTTGTGGATGATTTGGTCCCTTCAGATGTCCTTGTGGATGCACTTTATACACAACGTACTCGACCCCCTCGACTCGGGGCATCCGTCGACTCCGAGCGACCAACAGACAAGCGCACGGGATGACGGGGGTGGGGGGGTGAACTCATTTCTTTCGCTCTTGCGAGTCTTTTTTCTTCTCACAGTTTTCTTTCTCATATTTGTCCTTGTCAGATTTTGTCACGCTGTTGTAAGAGGGAGGGGAAGCCGTGGACGGGGTCATGTCAGTTTTGTCCGAGGTGGAGTTCTCATTGAATTTGCCGATGACCATCACGTCCTTGTCGGGGTCACGTAAGCCCTCTTTGAGCTGCTCTTTGTAGAGGGCCGAGGCCTTCTTCACGGCCGTGCAAATCATGTAGCGGCGGAAGGCTCTCTGGATGATGACGGAGGACATGTCTTCCTGCTTGCGGCGGAGGGTGGTGGTGATGGGCTCGTACGACACCTTTGAAGGATTGGATGCCATGAAGC